GAGCAGGTAGGTGTTTATATCACAGCCAGTAAGTACACCATGATAGTCTGTATCACTGAGGGGAGCAGGTAGGTGTTTATATCACAGCCAGTAAGTACACCATGATAGTCTGTATCACTGAGGGGAGCAGGTAGGTGTTTATATCACAGCCAGTAAGTACACCATGATAGTCTGGATCACTGAGGGGAGCAGGTAGGTGTTTATATCACAGCCAGTAAGTACACCATGATAGTCTGGATCACTGAGGGGAGCAGGTAGGTGTTTATATCACAGCCAGTAAGTACACCAGATAGCCTGGATCACTGAGGGGAGCAGGTAGGTGTTTATATCACAGCCAGTAAGTACACCAGATAGCCTGGATCACTGAGGGGAGCAGGTAGGTGTTTATATCACAGCCAGTAAGTACACCATGATAGTCTGTATCACTGAGGGGAGCAGGTAGGTGTTTATATCACAGCCAGTAAGTACACCATGATAGTCTGTATCACTGAGGGGAGCAGGTAGGTGTTTATATCACAGCCAGTAAGTACACCATGATAGTCTGATCACTGAGGGGAGCAGGTAGGTGTTTATATCACAGCCAGTAAGTACACCATGATAGTCTGTATCACTGAGGGGAGCAGGTAGGTGTTTATATCACAGCCAGTAAGTACACCAGATAGCCTGTATCACTGAGGGGAGCAGGTAGGTATTTATATCACAGCCAGTAAGTACACCATGATAGCCTGTATCACTGAGGGGAGCAGGTAGGTGTTTATATCACAGCCAGTAAGTACACCATGATAGTCTGGATCACTGAGGGGAGCAGGTAGGTGTTTATATCACAGCCAGTAAGTACACCATGATAGCCTGGATCACTGAGGGGAGCAGGTAGGTGTTTATATCACAGCCAGTAAGTACACCATGATAGTCTGGATCACTGAGGGGAGCAGGTAGGTGTTTATATCACAGCCAGTAAGTACACCATGATAGTCTGTATCACTGAGGGCAGCAGGTAGGTGTTTATATCACAGCCAGTAAGTACACCATGATAGTCTGTATCACTGAGGGGAGCAGGTAGGTGTTTATATCACAGCCAGTAAGTACACCATGATAGTCTGGATCACTGAGGGGAGCAGGTAGGTGTTTATATCACAGCCAGTAAGTACACCATGATAGTCTGTATCACTGAGGGCAGCAGGTAGGTGTTTATATCACAGCCAGTAAGTACACCATGATAGTCTGTATCACTGAGGGGAGCAGGTAGGTGTTTATATCACAGCCAGTAAGTACACCATGATAGTCTGTATCACTGAGGGGAGCAGGTAGGTGTTTATATCACAGCCAGTAAGTGAGATAAATAAACACCAATTAAAGTAATCTACACAATTACCATCTTCATAGCTCATTAGTTATATATTTCTTGTTAAATATTTTTTTAGCTGCCATATGGAAATGATGGGGGTTTAAATATGTAATCAGGAATTTGGAGGTTGTGTTTTGTTAGAATTGATTTATTTGGATATGTGGTTCACGTGAATTATTCGATATTTAATGTAAATCTTTAATTTCATGTATAGATAGACAGACAGACAGAGGGCACAGCACTGTGGGAGAGTCGATTGTTAGCTCTGCGGCCAAAAAGACAAATTGCAGGAATTAGTAACAATGTAATCTCTCAGAATGTCTGAAATTAAATAAGAAGTGAGGAGTCCTGTAGATGAAATGATGATGTATCAGTTTTGTATTTAGAAGACACTTCAACCGACGTTAATTAACTAAACAGCGAAAGGTGGTTAATTGGCAAAATAATTTACTAAATTTAGGCAAAACTTTAAAAATCGCTTAACAAGATTTTATTTTCCAAAACAACTTTTTTGGCCTTAACATCCCCACCTTACACGTCTTAATATAGGTGTTTGGTTTCTAATTCATAACAATTCACTGTTTAGTTAACACACCCCAAATCCCAGGAGACGCCGGCATTTGAAGTCATAAATATGGCGCAATTTATCTCTAACAATTTCTTCTCTGCGTGTTTTGCATGGTATTATTGATATATTATTGTATATAGGATTATTGTATCATTTGGGAAAACACGTAATATATAGTATAATATTGAAAGATTGGATAATATATAGCGTAATGTTGTATGATTAGATAATATGGTATATAGGCTAATATTGAAAGATTGGATAAGGGCAATATATAGGGTACTATTGTAAAATCAGATAAAATAACATATAGTATAATATCGAAAGATTAGATAATATAATATATAGTTTAACATTGAAAGATTAGATAATATGATATATAGTATAATATTGAAAGATTAGATAATATAATATATATGGTACTATTGTAAGATTAGATAGTATCATATATAGTATAACATTGTAAGAGTAGATAATATGATATATAGGCTTATATTGAAAGATTATATACTATCATATATAGTATAACATTGTAAAATAAGATAATATGATATATAGGCTAATATTAAAAGATTATATAATATCATATATAGTATAACATTGTAAGATTAGATAATATGATATAAAGGCTTATATTGAAAGATTAGATACTATCATATATAGTATAACATTGTAAGATTAAATAATATGAAATATAGGCTAATATTGACAGATTAGATAATATGATATATAGTATAACATTGTAAGATTAGATAATATGATATATAGGTTAATATTGAAAGATTAGATAATATAATATATAGTTTAACATTGAAAGATTAGATAATATGATATATAGTATAATATTGAAAGATTAGATAATATAATATATATGGTACTATTGTAAGATTAGATAGTATCATATATAGTATAACATTGTAAGAGTAGATAATATGATATATAGGCTAATATTGAAAGATTATATACTATCATATATAGTATAACATTGTAAGATTAAATAATATGAAATATAGGCTAATATTGACAGATTAGATAATATGATATATAGTATAACATTGTAAGAGTAGATAATATAATATATAGGTTAATATTGGAAGATTAGATAATATGATATATAGTATAACATTGTAAGATTAGATAATATGATATATAGGCTAATATTGGAAGATTAGATAACATGATATATAGTATAACATTGTAAGATTAGATAATATGATATATAGGCTAATATTGAAAGCTTAGATACTGTCATATATAGTATAACATTGTAAGATTAGATAATATGATATATAGGCTAATATTGGAAGATTAGATAATATGATATATAGGCTAATATTGAAAGATTAGATACTGTCATATATAGTATAACATTGTAAGATTAGATAATATGATATATAGGCTAATATTGGAAGATTAGATAATATGATATATAGGCTAATATTGGAAGATTAGATAATATGATATATAGTATAACATTGTAAGATTAGATAATATGATATATAGGCTAATATTGAAAGATTAGATACTATCATATATAGTATAACATTGCAAGATTAGATAATATGATATATAGGCTAACATTGAAAGATTAGATAATGTACTATATAGTTTGATACTGAAAACTTAGATAATATTATAGTATAATACTGAAAGATTGAATAATATCAGATTGTAATGTTGAATAATATAATATAATATAATTTGGCATAATATTGGATAATTTGGTGTACTAATAAATAACATTTTATTTTAAAACAATGTTTTTATCATTTTGATAATATTGGACAATTTAGCAAAATCAGTTATAAAAACTGGATAATCTGGGATGATATTCTGCTAATAATTCATAATACTTTGATGATGTTGGTTAAATTATACCAATACAGGATAATATTTAGATAATATTTATTAGTTGTTGATTGTTTATTAATATTATTTTAATAATACTGACTACAATAGTTTTTTTTTTTTTTTAAATACTGGATAAAATGTGTATAATATTAGATAATGTTGAATTAACTATGTATTGGAATTAAATTATTTTATTAACACTGGAATCTATTTTGATGAAATATAATATTTTGAGATAATATATATTTTTTATTATATTAGTTCCTTTGATATAATATATGTTGATATATACTGGCTAATTTGAGATCATGTTATTTACATAACACTCGATAATATTTTGACAATATTGGATAATTCTAGTTAATACTATTTTGATATTATTGAATCATTCTAAATGATATTATTTTATTAATACTCGATATTAGCTTGCTGTTGGATTGTTTGAGATAATGTGATAATATTAGATTATTTGACTTAACATTATATTGACAATTCTAGTTAATACTATTTGGGTAATATTAAATAGATTGAGACAATATTATTATATTAATTCAGGATAATATTTCTAAATTATTTTTTAGCATCCCAGGAATATTCTGGCCGTTATATTTAATGATAACGGATCAACAAATGATATGTTGGAGGTTATATTCCAATTAATATTCTGAAAATATTCCATAAAACCAATAAAAGGAAATCAGTAGGAAATATTTAGAGAGATTGGTGCTATACATTATAAATATTAAAACATCGAAATATCTGAAAATCTGCCTGAAATGAGATCTATGCTGAAACCTTAAATAACTGGAAATTATCAAAAACAGGACTGGATTAATTTCGCGGTTTGTTTTTTATTAATAAATTCATATTTTGTTTCATATTTGTAAATAAACTCCGTATTAGTGTAGACATAACTTGGAATCATTTTATATTTACCAAATATTTACATCTTAGTCTCCACTCACTCTCCATTCACCCCCCACTCACTCCCCACTCACTCTCCACTCACTCTCCACTCACCCACACTCACTCCCCACTCACTCCCCACTCACTCTCCACTCGCTCCCCACTCGCTCCCCACTCACTCCCCACTCACTCCCCACTCACTCCCCACTTAAATTCTTTGCAAATAAAGACACAGAATCCGATGTAAAATGATCCATTATATTCTCTGAACCAGGAACATAACATTTAATAAAAAAAATAATCTTTGAAAATTCTGAATGGTGGAGTATTGGGCTGAGAAGATAGAATTTGGGAAATTGTAGAAACAGTTACTTCCAGGTGACAGAGACTGAGCACAGTGTAGATACAGACGCATTATAAATCACAATGTCTCAATGCAGGTATTAAAATAAAACCACATCGCTCTGTTGGCTTATTTACTAAGGTCATATAATGTACGATATGTGGAACCGACAGACACAGAATGGGCAGCACAAAATTCAGAGCAGATCCCCTATGTAACAAAATCTCGCTAAATATCAGCTGTTAGACACACACACCTCGCAATGTTCAGAACACAGAGCCTTGAACAAGAAATCCAGGGCTTATTAATCGATCAGTATTTATAATTTGAATTCTACAAACAATAAATAATAAATATTTACTAATTATTAGACACTAATGAGTGGAATGATATTTACAAAAATAGACACCTAGAAATCTAATTTAACGTCTCATCGCTCATTTATAAATTGATATTGATAAATCTTTGTATATACAGGTTATCAGAACAAATATTGGGGAAATCAAGGACTCGGGGTTCATATTCTGCAGATACTGGTGATTACATATCTCAACATAAAATATAATTAATTGCAAAATACATAGCTGTGTCGATACACAAATATAAACACACACATACATGCACACACACACATAGATACATACACACACACACACACACACCAACATACATAGATACATACACACACATACACACACATACATTCACACACATACACACACATACATACACACACACACACACATACATCCACATACATAGATACATGCACACACATACATACACACATACGTTCATACACACACACACACACACACACACACATACATACATACACACATATATATATATATACACAAACACATACACACATACGTATTATCTCTCTCTCTCTTTATCTATCTACTATGTCTATCTATCTGTCTATCTATCTGTCTGTCTGTCTGTCTATCTATCTATCTATCTATATATCTATCTATCATCTATTAGTACAGAGAAATATAGAGTGCGGCAGAGAGAGAGAAAGAGACACAATGACAGATGTCCACAATGAGAGAAACATATAAATATGATTATGTTTGGAGATTGGGTTTTGTGATATTAATATTTTCTTTCAATACAAATTACATAACTAGGTAACAGACGAGTTGATGATAAATAGGTCGATGTGATTTGTTTGTCTGTCACGCAACAGAGAGGGAGAGAGACAGACAGACAGGGAGAGAGAGGGAGAGAGAGGGAGACAGACATAGAAGGAGAGAGACAGACATAGAGGTAGAGAGAGACAGACTGAGAGGGAGAGAGACAGACAGAGAGGGAGAGAGAGAGACAGACAGAGAGGGAGAGAGACAGACATAGAGGTAGAGAGAGTCAGACATAAAGGGAGAGAGAGACAGACTGAGAGGGAGAGAGACAGACATAAAGGGAGAGACAGACAGACAACGAGGGAGAGAGACAGACATAAAGGGAGAGACAGACAGACAACGAGGGAGAGAGACAGACAGACAGGGAGAGAGAGATAGACAAGGAGAGTGTATATCATGTAATATAATGTATTATGTGATAGATACTAAGTGGAAAATACATTAATATTTATTTCTCTAGAACCCCCCCCATACATTGAAGTAGTTTCGTTTCTCCTATTCTGTAAGACAGCAGTGTCTAAACCTGAGTCTCTCTCTTTCTCTCTCGCTCTCTCTCTTTCTTATTCTCTCTCAGATTCTCCCTCCCTCACAAGTCTCTTTCTGCTACTGTCTCTCTTAGACTCTCTGTCTCTCTGTGTCTGTCTAATTTTCTCTGTCAGACTCTCTCTCCATGTGCCACTCTCTCAAACTCTCTCTCCCTCTGTCTCTTTGTATCTCTCTCACAATCTCTCTGTCTCTCCCAGATTCCCCTGTATCCTCTCTATCAGGCTCACTCTGTCAGACTCTCTCTCCATGTGCCACTCTCTCAAACTCTCTCTCCCTCTGTCTCTTTGTATCTCTCTCACACTCTCTCTGTCTCTCCCAGATTCCCCTGTATCCTCTCTATCAGGCTCACTCTGTCAGACTCTCTCTCTCTCTCTTTCTCAGACTGTATCTCCCTCCCTCTCCCTATGTCTCTCAGACTGTATATGAGGGATTTAAATTTACAATGTTTGGAGTTTGGGGGTCTCTTCTTCCTATGAACCTTTAATCCACTGCCCCCTGTCTCTGTACCATACAGGATATAACAATTAATTTGCACATTTCACAATGAATCCAACTTCAAACAGCAGCCGTGTTTAAAGATAAAGGCTCACTCAGCTGAGTGGAGGTAATCCAAGCACTCACTCACTGCTATAAGCAAGCCTCAAGGAAGGGCCCCCACACAGGTCCTCACAGCTTCTCCCAGCTCTGGAGAGGAGGTGGTGATGGTGGCTGTGGCCCCAGGTGAGATTTCCTCATTGTGTTCTTGGAGAAGTCCTGGCAGGTCGAACCGTGGACCTGCTGTTATAGTAAGTGAGGACATAAGTCATCCTCTATGATGTCCACGTCATCCTCTGCCTCCTCCCTGACAAAGAGCCCCTGGCTGCTGGCCTTGCCCAGCTCTGTCCCATTTGGGGTTCCAATTTCGGGGTCACTGTGTTCCACGTGCTCCTCACCCGGTGAGTTTTTGGGGTCATCCTGGGTCTTTCTGAGCTGTTTTTTGTGTTTCATTCTTCTGTTTTGGAACCAAGTCTTCACCTTCAAAAAATAGAAACCGATTCGTTATTTCAGGAAGGAGTTAACTGAGCCAGTAACTTTATCACTTTAAATAATAATCATTTATAAATAAAACAGTATCTCCCAGACCCCAGATGGACGTGTTAGGACATTATTCATTAAACCGAAATATACCATTTGGACCAAACTATTCGGTTTGGAAAAGCTCTATAACTGACAGTTATTCATCAAAGTGCGAAATCAAAGTGAAAATATCCGAACTGGAAACATCTCTCGAATTATCGATGCTTTCAGTTCGGCTGCTCTGAGATAAAGTTTGAAATTCACTTGGAATTCTCTCTTTAGTAAATAATTAATTGTTTCCTGTAGTTGAATTTGTTTATGTGAATTAACAATGTCATCCCTCCTGATACATGGTGGGGGGCTCCTGACACCTCACATGCATGTCACCCAGACACCCACCTAATAACCCACTATATATGACACCATCTATACAGGACACCCACCTAATAACCCACATACAGCTCACCCACCTAATAACCCACATATATGACACCCACCATACAGGACACCCACCATATATGGCACCCACTATATATGACACCAACTATGCAGGACACCCACCTAATAACCCACCATACAGGACACCCACCTAATAACCCACATACAGGACACCCACCTAATAACCCACCATACAGGACACCCACCATATATGACACCTCACATACAGCTCACCCACCTAATAACCCACATATATGACACCCACCATACAGGACACCCACCATACAGGACACCCACTATATATGACACCTCACATACATGTCACCCACCTAAAAACCCACACTACATGACACCCACATAATGCATTTCACTCTGAGTGGCCTTTGAGGGCCATTGGGGCAGAGGGTACCTGGGTCTCGGAGAGGCTGAGGGCTGTGGCCAATTCGACCCTCTCTGGGGTGGACAGATACCGCTGAAGCTCGAAACGTTTCTCCAGTCCAGAGAGCTGGGAGTCTGAGAAGACAGTCCTGGCCTTCCTCCTCCTGCAGTGCTTTCCTGGGAGCTCAGAGTGATGGGGGAACAGGGCTGGTACTGGGAGACCTGCAGGAGGACGAAGGGGTTAGTAGGGCACACAAGGTTTTTAGGGGTATAATGGTGTAGGAGGGACACAGGGGTTAGTGGGGCACACCGAGGTTAGGGGGGGACACAGGGTGTAGGGGGGCAAAGGGATTAGTGTGGCACACAAGGATTAGAGGTGTAAAGGGGCACACTGAGGTTATGGGGGACACTGGGTGTAGGGGGGCAAAGGATTAGTGGGGAACACAGATGTTAGGGGGGACCAAGGGGCTAGTAGGGCACACAGGATTTAGGAGTATGGGGGGACACAGGGTGCAGGAGGGACACATGGGATTGTGGGCACACAGGGTTTAGGAGTGTAAGGGGATAGACAGGGTGTAGGAGGGACACATGGTGATAGTGGGCACACAGGGTTTAGGAGTGTAAGGGGGTAGATAGGGTGTAGGAGGGACACATGGGATAGTGGGCACACATGGTTTAGGGGTATGGGGAAACACACAGAGGTTACTAGTGCACGCAATGTTTAGGGGGGTAAGCGAAGACACAGGGGTTAGTTGGGCACACAGGTTTTAGGGGTAAGGGGGGAAACGGAAATTAGTGGGGCACACAGGGTTTATGGGGGACGTCTGGGTAAGAGAGCACAGGGGTTAGGGAAGGCACATGGGTTGGGGGTAATCAGGGGTAAAGGGGGACTCAGGGGTTATTGGCGCACACGGGGTTTGGGGACACACCCAGGGGTTGGGGGACGACGACACAGGTGTTTGGGGCACAGGGATTAATGGGACACAGTGGTAAGGGGATGCCGGGAGTTAGGGGAAGAGCCAAGGACTATAGGGAACAGATTTGATTATTGATGGCTAAACCACAGGAAAGAATGTCCATAAATCCTCCATCAATATTCCCAGAAACTGGGTCACATTAAATCTCATTATCTAATCTTTAATTTATAGAGGGACAAATCAAGATATTTAGGGAGATCTCTGAGATATTGTACATGATTTCCATTTAATAAGTTTTAATAAAATAACAATAATAATTTATATATATATATATATAATGTTATTTAATTAATCAGACCTCTGTCGTAATATTATTAATATATTTAGAGCTGATTTTTACTTTTTATCCTAAACAGTTATTAAATATTGTTCTTTTTAAATATTTTTTTTAAATAAATGTGAATCATTTCCTTAATACAATAAAAGCTTAAAACATAAAAATAAAAAAAAATACTGAAATATGTAACAGATTTTATATAATTATAATTCTTATCATGGAAATTGCATCGATACGTTTTATTTCTATCTATAAAGATATTTCGATTTTTATTCCCGTCTTTTGACAGGTTGTTGCAATAAAAATTTTAATCTGTTTAGTTTTACTAAATAATAACAAAAAATGAGTTCAATCTCTAATAATAACGCCCATTGTACAGCGCTACGGAATCTGATGGCGCTATATAAATAATATAATAATAATAATAATAAAATAATAATAAATATTTTCATTTTAAAAATGTGCACAAAAATATCCTGTAAGAATATTTTCATAATTTCCTTCCAAATCGATTGTTTCCGATATTGAAATGAAGAC